CTGAGAACCATGACTCGAGCAGCTCACGCGGTTGTCACCTCTTGCGAGGATTCCGGCCTTGTCTCAGGTTCGTTAGCGCCGGAGTTGGATGCTCTCCAAGCATTAATACTTATTGGGTCTATCCCGTACCTCGACAGATTCTTCCAAACCAAAAACTGCCTTCCATTGCAGTTTCGAAGTTTCATCACTTTTTTAACAAACCACCGCGTAATTGAATAAAAAGAGGAACAACTGCGGCCGTCCGGGAAATTATTCCTTAGCCCTGGTTCTGCAAGTCTACTAAAGTGAATGGATCCGAGTCAGGAAATGCACGTTCAAAATCAGCGAAAGAAAACGCAAGAATTACTATGTCAGGTGACTACCCTGCAAATCGTCAGATACAGCAGATAGTCTTAACCTCAAACGCCCGTCAATGCGATGGGGTAAATCCTTCACCATACTCAGCGACTACGCTCCTGTAATTAAACACCTCGATGATGTGATGAACAGATTTTACGATCCAGTCGACTATCGCGCCCGCCGACAAAATGGCAGCCGCCAGTGGATTGATTTTCCGCGGATGTGCACCCCATACTGCCTAGAAGGCGGTATTACTCTGGCAAGTGTCGCTTTGGCGCGTGCCGGATCACTCTACTCGTAATCATGGATTATCTCCTCGTCTGTAGACGAACCAGTTTGACTAGCTCTTGAAAAGGAAAGCCAACGTTCTGTCGTCTGGGTGGGAAGATAATTACCTTATATGTCCGCAGAAACATTCAGGTGATTTATAGTAATCGCATAGATCTGAAGCATCTTACGCGGAAGTCCACGACGAGAATACAATTACAGAGTTCTAATGAAAGTAATTGCGAGACGACTACTATGCCGTGGTCTTCATGACTGTGGCTCCGCACACCACCTGCATCGAAGTCAGATCGACAGGAACAACAAAGAAATCCGTCAGCACGAATTGATACCAATTTTCATTTCCATCAATAGAAAAAGACTAGTCCATCGCCGGAAAAAATCTTATGTTTCGAACATTCGAATACCTTCACGAGCTCCGCATCAGGAAAGGCTGCATGTGAAGGAAGTAGAACTCAAGTCTGGAGGTGAGTGTGTAGAGCTTTGTATGCCAGAACCAGGTCGATTCATCGATTGATTGACTTGCAATGCAAAGACCACGCTTCGCTCAACTCTTGGCTGGCCTTAAGTCACACAGCCAGCGTATGCGCATGCCCTCAGTCTGACCTGTGTAACCAAAAGGGCAGTTTGGGAATGAGACGTGAAATGCAACCTCAGGTGCCTTTTTAGGATTCAGCCGGTCATTTATTTTCAAAACCCTTCTTGGCCGGTGTGCACTTTCACTATTTAATCCATTCGTAACGCGTTCGATCGCGTTTAATGTATGGCAAAATATGCCATATCGTCGGTGGTGTTTCTGTTTCATTATCTATGATCTACCACACGTCTATAACCAAATTTTTCCCTGCGGCCGATCACTATCCTAGAATGCAGTCTCACCTAAAATACGGCAATGTTCACCTAGGGCACTTCGATTACTATAGTTTGATGAGACTCTCAATTCCTTAGGCACCCTAGAAGTCGGAACAGAGATTAAAGTGTGCTGTTTTTGAAGTTCGCTTCGTTATTCTCATCGACTTTGACGCAATGTTATCTCGGGTAAAAGACTTTAAGAGGTATACCACTAACACTATCCACTCAAAATTTAGTCTCTCATGAGTCTGGTCGAATTTTGACGAAAGGCTTACTTCACTTTTGCTGGAGGAACCTATGAGCAGATCCGGAGAATTCGAATTTGCCCTCCAATCTCCGGCTTTGGCTACAAAGTTGCTAAAAGCATTCTCCTTTCATCCAAAAGTAACCCGTGTACTGGACCCGGTATGTTGCGGATGCGTTTGTAATCATCAAGAAAAACACGCTACAAGCTCTCTAGAACTTTCTTAACAGGATCTTCCTTGAATTAAAATGCATGAGGACGCTTGAAAATTATACTGAACTCTAGATGTCCACAAGAAACAAGATAAATAAACGGACATCAACTTAATTTTGTTGCGCGTCACCGTCAACAGGCTAATCTCTCATGCATTTGGATTGCAAGAGGCGATGAATCTGGGTTATGTACTCGCTTATTTCCTATTCACCCTCATATTCCGCAATAAACTGAGCAGCGGTCATCTGTAAGTAGCACTTATTGAAGGGGCGGGCAAACATGCTCAATATTCGCGTCAGTTTTCATGATCCACTTTCGTGTGCGCAAGTGATGGCAGCGGCTATTGCAAACAAAAC